AAGTTGCCGGCTGGGCTTAAACCACAACAGCTCCATACCTGACAGTGTTCAATGCCAGGTTGGACAGAGCCTTGGGTGACATAATTTAGTGCGAGGTGTCCCTGTTCATGGCAGGGGAGTTGGAACTAAATGATCTTAAGGTCCTTTCCAACCCAAACCATTCTATGATTCTATCAGGGTGTGTATGCTGTTAGGGTCAGTTAAAGAACTTACATAAGTTAAAGAAGTTACAGTTCAAGAAGTGACAGAATTTAGCCCCCAATGGATTTGAAGATACACAATAGAATGCTCACTTTCAGCTTCCTGTCTGCCACAGGTATCAGGGTAAACCTTGATAAAGTCATGTCTAAACTGACAATTCAGATCACCCAGAAATATTTAGACTATTTGAAGTAACTGTACCTTAACTAATTCTTTCCTTGTTGCCTATAACAAAGCCGTCTTGGAGCTTCCTGATCCCAGAGCTGAGCCCTTCCAGGAATCAGTCTTGTGCATTTTTCCCAACTTCTTTCTAATTACAGGCAGCAAAGGCAGGAAGCCATCAATAGATACACTGCTGTGCACCGCACTGCCTGCACGTCACAGAAAGCAGAAGTGAGAAGCTGAATTAGGCTTGAGGGCTAGTGAGGGACTTTGGTGCAGATGGCTCGCAAGGATGGCCTTGGAAAAAACCTAATCATCATCACAATGAGTGTAGCAAAACTAAGCCTGTCACTCAGACATGTGAAGGCAGTCAATGTTGTAAATGCATGAAACACCTCACAAGAAGAAAATAATCCCTCAAGTTTATAAGCTTTTTTTTTTCATAACTTACTGTGCACTCAAGCCCTTTTCATTGATTTATGTAACCTCACATGCCCAGCTAAGATGTGTGCACTTCAATGGCAGTATTTAATTCCTCAACCAAAAGTCTCTCTTGCTGAATCCCTGTTTCACACATTCTCTAATTTGAGCACTCTCTCTAACCTTCCCAGCCTTTCAACAACTCACCAACACAAGCAGCTTTGCCGCCTTCTAGTTTAGCAAACACATTCAGAAAAAAAGTCTTCTCCAGAATGGATAAAAACAGATACATTTTTTCCATGCAATGAATAATTAATGTATGAAGATTACTGCAATAAAAAGCCAAGAATTTAGCAAGGTTCAAGAAGAATTTATGAGAATATCAAAGTCATAGTAACAGATACTGGCAAATGTGTTTAGAAAGACATATGAATGTCAGTACTTTAGGGTTTAAGTCTTTATGTGACTGGTGTTCAGAAAAAATATTTCCTGCAAATACTATACTTGTAGTAGGCCACTAATGAGTTTTTGTATCCTCCTCTAAAGTATCTGTCATTGTCCAGTTCTAACACTGGATTAGTTGATCCGCTATGGATTGCCATGCTGACTTGACAATCTTCTCTTTCCCCAAAGAGAAGCTTTGCTAATCTGGCTTTTTGTGCAAGACATGCTTAAAATACAATGATAAAGAAAACAAAAACATCAATAAAATAAAAATATGCCCTGTGGTCACCTTAAGTAAGAGCAGCACATACTATCTGACCTTCCTGCTTTGAAATACCAGCAGCAAGGCAGATCAGTGTCCTTCATGCTAGATTACTATTGTATGACAAATTCAACCCTCTCAATGCCTGTAAAGCTTCTATCTTTGTCATTATAAGTCACTCTCACAAACCCAAAGCCAAAACTGGCCGATTTAAAAGTAATGATTGATGGCCTATATAGTTCAGTGTTTTCTTGATCAGGCACAGATTTTAAGGAAACCATGTGGCTAAGCCTCTCAAGTTGAGCATGAACAACACAAAAGTTATTAGCTATTCAAATTATAAAGGAAACAATAGTACTTATGACCTATAACTTAAGTAATCTTAAATTAATCATGCTATATTAAGGCTCGTTAACATCTGCTCAGTGTTAGGTATTTACCTTCAGTCCACCACAGATTGGACAAGCTGAAAAAAGAGCTCTTGTCATCCCGAGGTGGGGGCTACATGTGTCACAGGGGTCAGCTGAGGGCCCACCAGGAGGTGACAACTCACTACTTTTGGAGTCTGGCACCTGTCCTTGTGGTTTTGTGTCTGACCACCTGGAGACAAAATCCACATAGGTCTCATCACTCGAGTCCTTGCTGCTTTCTGCCAGTAAGGATGAAGGCCTCCTTCTGTCCTGGCTGTGCTCAGGTACCCTCCGTGCTTCCAAGTGTGGTAGTAGCAGTTTTGGGTCACTAGCACCTTGAGGCAACAGAGCCTGGTCCTTGGATAGCGTGGAATCTGCACTTTTCGGTTGCACATCTTTAGAAGCTGCCTGTAACAAACTCCTGGGTATATCATAAATATGTCTGAGAGAACTGGGAACCTGATACTCTGACCCTGCACCTCTCTGGGGTTCACTGTGAGGACAAGTACATAAACTCTGATCCGAAGGAAAGTTCAATGGCAAGCTTAGTAATGATCCAAACTCATCACCATGGCAAATGTCCAAGCTCCCAGCATAGGAGGAGAAGCTTCCAGAATAAGAAGAGTGACTACCAGTAGCTATCCCACTGTCAGAAGAACTCTGGCGACCTATTTCCTGTAGCTGTCTGGATCGGAGGGGCTTTGGAGGTGGTTTAGTGGTGCCATGTGCTCCTTCTGGAAGGGTCTTTTCTTCCCCAAGATGAATGCCCTTTGCAGCTGCTAGTCCATGACTCTCTTGAGAGGTGCTGGCTGAAGACTGTTCAGGCCAAATTGTCAACCTGCTCCCAACACTAACATCCGAGTGGCTGGTATCTGAAGATGAGCTTGAAAGACTTCTCTCGTCTCCTAGAAAAGCAGAAAACACATCAATCTCAGTTTAAAACACAATCGACAGGCTGACGCACGGCAAGCATGCACAAACAGAAAGGACCTTGAGATTCCATCTGCTATTTGTAAGGGGAACGTCTGCCAGAAAGCCACAACTCCTGCAATAATTCCTATTCCCAAAGGAAAAATAAAATGAAAATAGTATGTAACCTTGCCGTAACCCTACCACATTGTGGAATATAATGCACTCAGGGCTAAATTTTCAGAGTTTAGGCACCAAGTTCTCCCCTTTTAAACCCTATTTTGCTTATGTACAGTTAATTGGTTTTATTTTAGATACTCCTATCTTAAATCACAGGGAATAGTCACAAAGTCCCATGCTCAGAATAGCTGAGGATGCTCTGAAGAAAACCTTGTTACTGTAATGCAAATCTGTGTAAGACATTTCCATGTTTATATTTGAGCAATATCAAACAATTTATTATCTTATTTGTACTTTATTTTCTCCATTTAAATCTTATCTGGATGAAATCAAAGTGCATGTTAGAGACCACAAAACTGAAATCAAACTTAAAACTATCCTGTTCTCTCCTCTGAGGTCTCCTACACTGTACTTATCTGTAATATCCATACCAAAACATAGCTATACATCACTGTAATGAACAAATATGAGAATACTACTATTATATTTCTCTTTTTACATACAAAAGAATGGTCCATGAGTAATTTGTGCATATATTGCAAGGGTCTGGGTTTTTTTTCTCTCTGATATTTGCAAGGACACTTCTACAGGTAACTGTTGCTATCCAAGACAGACTATGAAAGAAAAAAGTTAAACATCGGCATGAAAGGGCGTAAGGACAAAAGGCAAACGTCACACAAACACGTACACAGAAACAAACAAAACCCCACTTTCTTATAGCAACAGACACAGTCTACAATGTTATTTTCTTCCTTCTTAAGCCAATGTGAACACAGGGGCTGACAGCAGGATCATTTTGTAGGTTAATTTTAAGCCATTTTATTAATTTTAAACCTTGGGCAGAAAGTTGCCAGATGGTGTAGAAAGGGAAAGGATCCATTACAAACTGTGACCTGAGCTCCTGGAGTTACTAGGTTATTTCTATTCTCAGTCATTGAGGGAAAAGTTTAGAACAATTTTCCTGCTCTTCATGGAGTAATTCTTGATATATACTGTCACACAATAGCAATGTTTATCCCATGAAATCTAATCCTTTCTCTTCCCCCGGTGCCCATTGCATGACACTGGTTTGTGATCCCTGTGTGAATATAACTCCCGAGATTAAATCCTACATCTTTCTAAAGAGAAGACACAAGTTACAAAAATATTAGTGTAGGTACCAGCAACATGCCCAGAAGAAGAAATATAATTGTTAAATAAAAGTTATTTGTCTTACAAAAACGTCTGTTTTTATTTAAAAAATAAGATTGTTGAATTTATTTGATATCACTTCTCTTAGAAAAATATTTTAGGCACTTTAGATCTCTGGAAGGGAAGGCGACCCCACTCCCCCACCCCCTAGTCTTGAAGAAAATGCTCTAATTCTGTAAAGCCAGATATTCTCCAAGGCAGTGGCAAAACCCAGGTCTCCAGGTTCAGGCAAATGTCTTCCCACCAAACCTACAGGGCCAGTCTTGTTGTTATGATATATCCCACAAACACAAATATATAATTTTCCTATGCAAAACTCGAAGAACAGAATATGGAAAACTTACTCTAGGATTCCTCATTCTCTGAGGATCACTGCATTCTAGGAGAATGTATTCAAAATTGGGCCATGTTTTCTAACCAGAGTGACTGAATTAAAAAAACCACAACAACCAACCAACCGAAAAACCAAACAATTAAAAATCCCAAACAAACAAACAAGCAAAACAAAACAAACACACTTCTCTATCAAGTCTCATTTGCTTTCCATCAATCTAGTCAATTCTAGTAGTTATGTGCTAAACAAGAAAAGTCTCAGGAAGTCTCAGTGTACTTTAGTCACAAACCACATTATACAGCAGGGTCAAGACTAAAGTAGCCATGGACGTGTATAAAGGCATATAAGAAAGCCCCTGAGGATCTTCACAGGATCTTTTCATGTTCACAGGCTTTAGAGTCAAGAGCAAAGCAGATTTTTTGAGGATCTAACTTCTGCTTTAAACAATTTCAATAGGAGTTCAGGGCATAGGCCCTTTTACAAATCCAGAGCTAGACACCAGTTCTACTTTGATATATAAACGACTCCAGAAGGAACATGCACAGATAACACCACAAAAAGCAAGAATAGTGGCACTTAAAATCAAAGCACGGGAGTCCTAGGTTTCACAACAAAATCTGCTGTAAGCCTGATGTGTGAACTACACAAGTCAGTCCCTCTCACAAGCTGGAGTGAGTCCAGTACTTAAGCAGGTATCAGACTTGACACAGACAGTTCTTTTAAAGCTACACATGCACAAATTCAGTAATATTCAGCATACTAAGGGATTTTCCTGTTTTAATAACATTTGGTCCAAAACTTACTCTGCTCAGTTGAAAAACTCCAATCTACACCAATGGACTTCAGACAATTCTGTTAAAGAACCGCTCCACAAGCAACAGTAGCCAAATCAAGTATCTTGACCATTTTCTATTATTGTTCTTTTAAGCTCACCTTTTTATAATTATATACATACACTCATTTCTAAAGCCTGGGGAGGAAGGAACACCATTTATTTTTATTCATTTAAGGACATTTCTTACCTCCACTGCCCTGGCGACTAGTATGGGACAGCAAGCTCAAACGTTTTTCTAATTGCAAAGCTTCATGAGCCAATCTTTCTTCTGAATAGGCTGGATTTGGACTTGGATCTTTAAAAAACAAAATAGAAGATAAGTAAATAAAAAAGAAACATAGAAAAAATATAAAAAGCAGGAAAGGGGGAAAAAAGACGTTTTCATGTTGGATAAGAATTTTAGCTATTCTTATGTTCTCATATTTGATCTCCTACCAGGGGAAAGGAAAATGTTGATTGGAAAATGTATGGGATAATCTGCTTTCAAGCACATCCTGAAGAAATGCTGCATGATAAGTCATAATTTTAAGTGTCAAAGACACTTTCAAAGATTATACCAGATGTCTGTAAGAGTTATCTCCAGAGACAGGACCTTAAAGAGCACAGCACCAAAGGCAATAGCTACAGAGAAAATTAGCATCCAGCAGGTCTAAAGGAGTTGAAAACTAGTATGTGACTTAAAAAATGTGTCCTGACTTCACTGAACTCCTTGGGAATTTTATCATCAAAAAAGACCATATTTTTCATCCCACGAATTTACAAATCTACATCATAAACTCAAGAGTTACAGTGATTAAACCATCTGATATCTTCCAATTCAGATCACCTATTTACAATGACATTGCTTTCAAGTTTGATGTTTCAAAAAGGTCATTAAGTTCAGAAGTCAGATATGAAAAAAGCAACCCAGTGGTTCTCTGTCTTCATGTTCAGTACAAAAAAAGTTAAAATGCTAAAAACCACCCCTAAAATGTACTATCAAGGATTTTCCTCATGCATTTCAGTGAGCTTGCCATTCCAGCTGAAACTACTTCACTGAAGAAGGCTCATTCTATTCTGATAGAAAGACCAAAAGTTATACAGAATGTGGAAGAACTTTCACCAGTAAAACAGGCCAGTGTTCTCTACACAATTTTGTTTCTAGCCAGGCACAACAATAAAACCAGATGTTGAAAATAATAATAACCATTACCCCAAGAGAAATCTTAGAGATTTCTTCAAACAACACTGACAAGTGTGTCATGTTCAGCAGTGGCAAAGGATATGGTCTGCTAACTTGTTCATCATCAGGAGTTTCATTCGCTCTTATTAATTACATAGAGAAAATACTTAATGACAGATAAAACAGATTAGCTTCCTCACAACTGCTCCTCTTGCATATCCAATCAACTGAGTTCTAGTAGCATACCACAAAAACGTTTAATCATTGAATCATTTAATAAGATGGGAAAAAAGGATGAAAAGGGCTATACATTGCTGTGGTTGAGTTAGTAAGACAAAAAACAGTTGAAATCATGAAGGCAAAATTCATTTTCATTCCAGGTCTTTCAGTTTTAAAATAGTTGGGTTTGATGTTGTCAACACATGAGTCAAATCAAGCTCACAACCAGGGGAAGGAGCACTGCCAGGTGAGCTGAAGCTCCATGGGAGTCCCTAAATTGTTAACTACCTGAGAAACAAGCTGACACAACTCTGCTCCCTAACTGTATTTCACTTTCTAATCTGCCCTGGATAGATCCAAGTGCGTCACAGGAACAGAAGTGACAATGCTGAACTTTTTTTCCCATGTAGAGGGGGTTTCCATCTTTAGCAGTCAGCAATCTGGGTAAGATGAGCAGGACAAGCCAGACACACACACAGTCCTCCTATAACAGCGTATATTGGAAATCAAAGATGTTCTAACAGGGGCAAGGCAACAATGCATGTGACTAACACAGGCTGTGACCTCTGTGTGTCCCAGCTCAGATAGTGCTTGATTTCAGTGTCTGCCACCTTCCAAAATTAAAGAACAGAAAAGAGGACTGCTTGATATGGATTATGCTGTTAGGTCTTCATTCCTATTTCCACTGCAATACAATTCGAAACAAACATTGACTAGTTCAAACCTGTGTAACTTACTTAACAAAATTGTGTAAGCTTACTTAAATGACACCCACAATGTTTCCATATGGACCTTTGCTGAAGGAAAATATACCACTTGGCCAACAGCACCTGTGGTGCAACCCAGACAGGTCTGTGCAAGGATGCACCCAAGCATACAGCATTACAGGCTGCTGCTAGAATCTACTTTTTAATGTCCTCTGTTCCAGTTACTCTGCTGTATTAAGTTAAACGCCCCTATGTCCAAAAAAGTTCAACAAATATGTTCTACGAGCGCTTTGAATAGAAAGTTGGCATAACAGATCAACAAATCAGTCAAACCAAGATGCAACAGACACTAACCCTTCCCACAGAACTGTCAGTAGGAAAGATCCTTCCACTTTCCTCAGAATATGATTACTTGATAAATATATATTTTAAGAACACTACTAGGGCACATACACAACTATTGTTTTTTTAGTAACTGATATCCATCTTACAGACAGCAAAAGATATAACTAAAAAAACCTTGTCAAACATTTGGTCTTGCAAAAATGGCCTGTAATAAAATACAAGATGGGAAGGTAGAAGGGAAATTGAAGAAATCAGTAAGTTTGTATTTCACGTGTTCAATTGCTTCTAGAAGACGAATTCCCTATTAGCTACACAGCTACAGAACACATTTCACTCAACAACATGTAATCTCTAGGCATACTGCCTGTCCAACGGGACTGATAAATTTTAGTCAAACTTCCCCTTAAGGACTGACTAGCTATGTATAAAAGGTGGATATAAAATTAGGTCCATAGTTATGTGCTGTGACCTCTCGTTGCCCAGTTTTGTGGAATGTTGATTAGAAAAACCCTTTCTCAACAGGTATTAGGAAATATCTAGAGAAACAATTTCAAAACCTGCCAAACACATAGACTTTAAGTCTTAGGCAGGTATTAAGAATAATTGTCCTTCAGTCTTTCTGAAACTTTGGCTTCCCTTTAACCTTCTCTGCTAATGAGCAAGACCCCTATGGAGAACACACATACTGTTTCCCAGAAGCAGCAGATTCTTACACCAGTATTTTTTATTATAGACTACCAAGCACTAATCAGGAGGTTCTGCTACAAGCTCAGACTAAGAACCGAAGTCACTGGCAGCCACTTTTTAGAGACTGATCTTTACTGGAGGGCACACAACCTATGACCTCCTGTCATATAAGTGTAGAAATATGGCCTAAAAAAATATAAAAGTGAGGGATTTTTCAGTGGTAAAGTTAGAATTATTGGCATCATCCTACACTTGTGCACACATAATACAAAGCCTCTAAATAACTGCATAGTAATCTACTATATTACTAATTCAGGAGGACAGAAACAGCACAATCGCTACCAAGACAGCTGTCCAAGGAAGTTCAGACAGCTTCTTCCTACACAACATCCTGCAGTAGCTCCAACAACTCCAAGAGCTATTAGTACCTTCATTTCCCAAACTCTTAAATGTATCCTGTAACGTGATTTACTCCCGTGGAATTTAGGCAGTAAGATTCACTCAGCTCTTTCAATTAAGAAAGTGTTTTGTCATTTTCCAAACAAAAATGGATCCCTTCCTATGAAGAAAAGTCCTTCATGTGAGGCGGTCAATGAAATCTTCTTAAAGGTTTGCTGCTTTGGGGGCAAAGGCGAAGGATTACATCAAATTTGGTTGGACTTAAAATGCCTCTAATGGTGATTTTATTTTTATATCATGTTGGTGGATATTCATTATAGCTACATCAGCTGCTTATCGTGGGAGATTTTGGATACTCTAGTAACATACAAATAAAGTGTCACAGTAATTCAAAGCGCCAGGGTTGTTTAGTAAGCATCTGCCAGGAAAAAATGTGCTGTACCAGGTTAAGTCAACAGCTACTTAAGATATGCTTGGTTATAGGCATCTTTAAAATGCAACATTGGTTAATTACTTCATTAAGCAAAGTTAGATAAGCAAAGTTAGGCTGAACATCTGTCCTTTCTTTCTACCTTTGAACCATAGGCACATTTGCAAATCAGGCCTGGACCGTCACCTTCATGCTAACATCTCCACACCTTGTAAGATAGAGGAATGAAAAGATGTCCTAAAAGTTTGAGAAGGATCCCCTTGGTACAGACACTGCAGAAGGCAGCCACAGAGCTGTCTTGCAATGGCCAAAGGTGTATCAAGCTTCGACAAAAAGAAAGAGCATCAGATAGATCCTCAGCAAGCAGCACTCTCCAGTCAGTCACAAAGCAACCTGAAAAAGCTTCCAAAACTAAGAGAGCATCCAGACTACCATGATTACACTTGGGGTCTTTCCAGCCTGAGGACTAGACTGTCCAGTCGCCTTAGGTTTAGAAAACACTGCTTTGCCCACTGATCAAAAATATCACTGATCTACTGTTGGGTGTTTGCTGTGTTCATGTTTGGTGTTCAAGATTAATTTTGCTAGTCAAAAGATGGAATTCAACACACATCTGATAACACAAACATTTATCACATAATACACATGCAAAATCAGTACAGATTATAAACCAGTGTTCGTTACTATGCCAATATCTAGACTTCTGTCAAGACAAGAACATGAAATTCTCTGGTCTGGTTTCTAAATATCTTCTCAAAAGAAAAAGAGACTATGCAAGCAGTAAATTACTGCAAATATCTTCCAACTAGTAGCTAGGGAAAATAAGCCATCCAAAGACATCCTGTCACTCACTGGAGTCCTTCATTTAAAACACTACGCTATCTAAAAACATCTACAGATACCTACATTACTTTTGCATTCCCACTCAATACCATATGTCTTAAATTTGACACCTGATCATGCAACCTTTAAAAAACAAAAACCTCCAATCTGTTAATGGTGTTGCCTACAGGAGTATTTTGGTACAATTTGGCAGAATTAATGAACTCCCAAAATAAGTACCACACAGTAGTATACTGTAAAACATCCAATATTCTTTTCCTTTTCCATTTTTAGATGTACACATAATAGAAAACTTTTTTATCATGAGAATATTCATTATCATTGTATACCATTTCCAAAAAGTCAGAGAATAGTTCAGGTTGGAGGGGATCTCAGAAGATCTCTAGTCTAACCTGTTGCTCAAAGCAGGTCAGCTATGAGAGATTAGACCAGATTTTGATACCTTGCAATGGTCAATCAAATTTGAGTTCCACTGCACAGCATTTTCATTACATATTTTACAGATTATGTGATAAAATACATATAGTATAGATCTATGTATACATATAACATATATCTATGTTACACCAAGCTTTTAAGGGAGCAAGGTATGTTTTTCAAAACTACAATCAAGAAAAGATGTCAATATTTTATTTGAGTAAACATCCCTTGCACATGAAGTTTATAAACTCCTTTTGGATATTGTGCATTTTACATTTGTTTAAAGAATCACTTTGACAAGTAAAAGTAAGAAAACTGGTCATTTTCCAGTCTTCTTCAAACCAGCCTTGACATTTCCTATTAATTTCATGCTAACACTTAAGTATTTCAGCACGCCATTTAACCATATGGTTGAGCTGTTTGTACATGAAACTACTGGGTTCATTCATTACCCTTCTTCCAAAGACAGAGTAAGCAGATGTTGACTGCATAACCTCTCTAGATTATAATTGTGCTGTGGGCACCATCAATGTGACTTTTTTTCACCACATTACATTCTTTTCTCTGTACAGCTGCATAAGAGTTACTTAAGCATATTTCATGTTTAAATTGGAAAGGTACAAGCAACAGCAAGAAGTCACATTCAAATAGCAAACTGTGGAGCTTTTTTTCCTACAAAAGCTTTTAAATTACACAAAAGCAGAATACTGCATCTATAAAGCCCAGTTGAGGGTGTGTAGCATTCTGCACTGCAGTCAGTATGAATAACACTGAGTTTTGATGTAGTTACTAGAGGTGTGCAGATGATTAATCTATTTAATAACCAACCATTTCAAAAGGTTGGGTGAATTTCAGTACTCTTGCCAGATACACTATGTAGCTGGTAGAGACCTGACCTTTTCAAGCAACACACTGTGTTCTGTGTAACGGCATACTTGGAAACGAAAATTACTTTATGGATGATTCACTATTATTGTACACGTGCATATGCCTTAAACAGCTCTGTGCAAGCTTCTGCATGGGATTAATAAACGAAGGAGAACATAAAAAATACAAATTTTCTGTGAAGGGACATGTACATGGGGGTAACAACAAACTAGGGGAGACAAGGGTAAAGATAGAAGGAAATGTAAGATAGAGAGGTCAAAGTAGCTTGGAAAAAGAGGTCTGCAAGAATGTGAGCATTGTTCCCTACAGAGTACTGCTCCTGTCCAGGGAAACAAAGTGAAATCAAGTGGCTGAGTCCATCTTCACCTCATTTAATGGCAAGTCCATCAAGAACAGAAGACAAAAGAAAAAGATCTCAGAAAAGAGGTATTCCCTTACAAAAACCACCAGATTACCCCCAGGATATGCAACATCCACTTTATGCACTTTAGTGAGGTCAGAGTTCTTAACAGCGGAAAGGGAATGTGGAATGTGGCCATGCATAACAACTCACAAATGCCAGAGCTGATAACTAAGATGTGAAAGCAGATTTATTTCTACATGGCTCTAAAAAAAGATTTTTCAAAGAACATGCCATCTAAAATTAAAATTTTAAAAATAATAATAAAAAGACAACAGAATAGTTGCTTGTAGGCTTAATTTTTCTAGACAAATTTTTGTTAAATGAAAGACTTAGGAGTTGTATATATGTAATACACTCTCAGATACGCAGAAAAATATGCGTTCAATAGCAGAGGTTTAGGTACCTGCATTGCTTCTTTAGGTTTCTGTTGTTGGGCTTTTGTTGCTTGCTTTTTTAACACTCCACTTACTTGAACACAAGCACAGACCATCATATAAGAATGAGGTTTTACTACCTATTATGCTTACTCTATTTACTTCAGCGTTACAGCTATTGGAAAGAAGAGATTATCTGAGCTTTGCATTTATGTTAACTAACTTTTTGTAATTATTTTCACAAGGTTTGCATCCAGATTTATTTTTTTCTGTATTTCCTTCCTGCAATAATCGTAATCTTACAACAGTAATAAGACCCTGACAAACACTTATTAACTGCCTAACACTTAAAAACTCCAACTATTTCCCACAAATCCCACCTCATCCTTCACCATTCTTGCTGCCTATTCCCACTATATCCCACTGCCAATTCACAGGTATTTTCCTATACTCTCATTTCAACATTCTTGCCCTGTTCGACACAGTCGTTCTGACTCAATATTACGTTTCTTCATCTGCTAAAGTCAAAAGGCAACAGGGCTTACTATGATGCCACCTAATTCCCCCTCTAAACATTACAGCACAAACAGCATTTACCATGAAATAGGAATTTAGACCTTGCACATCAGAAGAGAAGCTCAAGCTGCAAAACTGAAATATGATGTGAAGGCTCTACAAAGGTTTTTGAGGTTGGCAAGACTTAGTTCTAAAGGTTTCAGATGAACTCAAAATGCCCTAGAAGCTAGTTTTCCATTAAACTATCAAAACAGTAATGCAGACATGGATCCAAGTTGAACTGTGTACATTTAAAACTAGGCATTAGGGTTCCTTTCAATCCAAATTGCCATATTTTAGTACTGTTAAATAAGAGAAGGCTAGAGTTAACAATATCACCAGGAATATGAATGAGCCAGAGCAGCAGGGGGGAACTGGGTACATTCAACTGATAAATCTGTACTGTGACATTTCAGAATGAAAACCACTTTGCACTTTCTACACCCTTAGCGTCTGCAAGCTGTTCTTACAACCACAGCAATAAGTGCTAGACATGGCAAGTTCCTACTTTGCTCAGTTACTCTATACTTCCTATATTAACCTGGTAGGACTGGACGCAAACCAAAAGGGCCCTTCGTCGGGGAGATGCCACGGACGATACAGTCGAATAGAAAGCTGATCTGCTCTCCTTCAGCACAAGAAAGGAAAAAAACACCAGCCCCTGCAAGAAAGCACAATATAAATACGTGTTTTTCACCTGGATACATTAGAAATATATTTAGATGAAGCTATTGATAATATAGCAGAGAATTAAGTGCAAACATGAAAAGATATCAAAAAGATGTTATCCAAACAAAAGAAATAAAAAAAATTCAGATTGGCACACATACAATATATCACAAATACAGATAGTTCAATAGCTATCTAATCTTTTACACTAATTTTCTGGGATTCAAGCACTTAGAGCAATGCTAAAATACAAGCCGTATTCTTAACAGCCATCTGGGTTTTTATTCTTCTTTACCACCAAAATTTTGTAGAACAAATCTTACCTACGCAAGAGTTGGGGATACTTAAAGAGTCTTTATCAAAATGAATCAAGGTATTTTCACTATTACCCAATTTTAACTGAGAGCAGCTTTTTATATCCCAATGAATTAGGATTTGATTATATTGCTGGATTATAGTATGAATTTTCCTAAACTAAGTCCTATGTGTCTATTATTAACAGAATGTAACACAACTCCACAGGTTGTCATCAGATCTTTACCCTTTGCTCTATTCTGATATTTTGCTTTCCATTCATTAAGAATAGCCCCAAGCAAAATTAGAATGAGAATCACTAAGTAAACAAACAAGTTCTGAACTGCATGATATATGGCTACACGGACAAGACACAAGACTAGAAGTGCTCCATAGAACACTTTGAGAATTGCCAGTCCAAATATTACTCATATGAGGAAACAAAAAAAAAAAAAAATCTTAAAACATCAGGCAAAAGACCACCCATGCACACCAGAAAACCACAATAGCAAATCTTAGACCTGCAGAAAGCTTTTACTTATTATTTTTTTAGGGACCTGGGCCCCTAATCTGGACATAAATTTGACTTCTGCATGTCTCTAGCCAATTCCGAGTTGCATATGTCTTTTTGTGAATTTTAGTCAAAGCAGCAGAGCTGGTCTTTACCAGAATGCCTGTATCCTCATTACTTTCCACACATATGCCCTGTCCTATCCAACAGGATATTCACATTTTACTTAAGCAATAGATACACTTTTGACCACTTGACAAAGCGTTATGGGATTCAAACAACAGGGATAATAAAGAGTGGACCACAAATCAAAATAATTTTAGCAAATTAGGTATAACCAGCAAGCTGTAAAGTGACTGCCCTAGGAAGAGCATATTCCGGTCCACACTCTTTTGTAATTCTTAATTCATGTTACATCTAAGTCTGTCTGCTCTGCTTAAATCTGTTCAAGACAACATTGTTAGCAGCATCTTCATAACTTGATTTTGTCATTCCACCACATTTGATTCCTCTTCAGATCTTATTGATCGAAACTTCTTCAGCTAAAGAAATGGAAATCCTGTTCTGGAAACAGTTTATTTCATTTGGTGAACTGCTAGAAATTTAACTGTCTGGTAGAAGTTAAATTTATACTTAAGGGCTGGCTTGCCAATCATTTCTAGAGAACAAGGTCTCAAATGTATTACTTGAAATTTAGAATAGACAAATATTGAAACACTAAGTTATGTTTAAGCAGTTGAAAAGATGAGCACACACAGGCTCATGAAATGTAAACCAGAGTAAAGCCTACTCAACTTTGCACTTCTGTGACACTGTTTTCTAGTATTGTTTTTAAAAACAATTTTGCCCCACGTTTCCTCATGGCACATATACACACCCTGGCTTCAGGATCAAAGACCTAGGAGATTACAACAGAAATCACGCAGTCTCACAGGTATGAATGTTTCTGGTGCTGGCTCACTCTCAGTTGTGTCCCATTTCCCCTGCCCAAGAGATGCCAAAGAGTCAGAGAACACTGCATTAGAAAAAGCTAAGAGCAAAGTATGTATTCAGGAATGATTTGAAATTCAGTTTTTCCTGTGAGCTGCCTTCTCCTCCCCCCACAGAACAGAGGGAGTCTAGGGAAACCAGTTTGCCTAACCTCAGATGGTATGACTCCTCCTCCATGAAGCACTTTCCTTGAGGGAGCAGGGCAACACAAGGCTTTGCTGGACTCTGAATATGACCTACCCATTCCATGCACAGTAAGTAAGCAAGATATAGAGATAACATAACAGAGGACATTCATATCTCAAGCACAGTGATATACTATGTGGCTTGATAATTCAGCAGAATCCTACACATTCATGTCACCATTCAGGAAAAGAACATTCCTTAAATATTTCTGTCATAAAGAGTGCATCTGGACCACTTTGTTCTTTTATCACTATTGTCTCAAGTCTTACTTAAACTCCTAAGAAGCTATACAAGCTTCTGACTTTAAAAGAAACAAAAAAGTAAATGTGTGCACACAAGCTGGCTGCTTAACTCAAGGGATGATTTCTTCAAAGAACATTTGGAAATCCCAAGAAGAAATGTGATGGGTTTATAAACTAGTGCAAACAGTGTATGCACATGTGCACATGAATACAAATCTAATATACACATATGCATAAAGTATTTCTTTGTAGATTCTATTATTCATATGGCCACTACAGTTGCTGATTAACTCTTACAGGAAACATTCTCATTCTTGTTTTGCTAGGCAGAAGTAGATTGCAAGGGAAGGAAGTAGTTTGGGGGTCCTTGCAAAACACATATGAATAGGTAAAGCTTAACTATGTTTTAAAAACATACATAAAATCCAGCAATTACACCTCATTTCTGCTTTCTTACTAGAAATTAGACATCTCAGTCATGCGTTGGAACAAATTTGGTGCAGAAGCATTTGGGAGCCAAGGAATATGTGGTATGCATCACTAATACCATGCAGCTGTTTACTAGACCAAAGAGCTCACTCACTCAGTCACTCTCTTCATAGGGTAAGAGACTTGGTGAAAAGCAGCCTGCAACCACTTGCATAAGGCTGAAACACTAAGCCAGTCCTCTGTGGCAGTCAGCAGTAAAGCATTGTACAGTCTCCTGAACACTCAAGAGAAGTTGCCAATTATTCCTTCAAACTCTGTACTGCATGTGAAAGCAGGAAGGAAGAGTCAGTCCCTTCCCATGAATTATTCCTCCTAACAGGTACCAGACAATGCTAGAGCTTGAAGTCTTTTAGCTACAGGACAAGTACAAACCATGGTAGTTTAGTTCATGGTAATCATCATGTTGTCAAACCAGTATATCTCAATCCTGACCTCATGCAACCCTCTTTAGAAGGTATCTCAGGCTGCTCTTCTCTCTGGTGAAAATTACAGCAGAAGTTTTTGTCAGCTAAGACATGGCCATGACCACTAAAAAGATAAAAATGTCTGTTGTCTGCAGTAGCCTAAGTAACATAAAGAAAAATACTTGCGTATTAACAGAAGTTTTAATCTATGCAAGCCATAATCTTTCAAGAAATTCCAGACATTGCCCCAGTTCAATCACCTCTACTGCTTCTTATTTTCAAATAAATCCCCATTCATTATAGGTTTCCTCCTCTCCTCCTTTAGCCCTTTCAGATATGCTGGTAGCCACTTCCACTATTTCAAAATGACTTTCAAGAGCCACTTGCAGAAGTCTTAGAAAGGAATCAGCACCTAATTTCATCAAAACAATCACAGAAATACTCCTGCTCATCCTGCAACTAGTAGCAGTATCATTTGTTCTTTCAAAGGACACCAAGGGTCCTACAAGTTCCTCTCTTCCAGGACATCCTGTTAGAAAACATGAGGCAACTTCAAACTGCTAATGGAAGCTAATCCTGAAGTACTTGAACATTGGAGAACCTGAATTCTCACAGTGTTAACATGCCCTTTTATTACCCTACTTGAATTTTTTCATACTAACCTCCAAGTCAAGATTCTCCTGGCAACTGATCTCCCTAATTGAGAGTAGTGCACTCTAACTGAGGTAGCAACTTAGGAAAGTGAAAGGCTCCTTTTTTCCAGCCCTTTCCTTTAAGTAAATCTCTCAATTGACTCCTCGGCTCAGATGCCTGGCCTTTTTTGCAAACAGTATGTGTGACCGAGCTGCAGCTAGAGAAGCTGGGGGCACGGAGAGCCAAATTTGCAGCTGTCAGGAGCAGAAGAAAGTATTTTCTAATCTCTAGCAGTACGATTTTGATGTTAAGACAAGGCCAAAATGTAAATGCTCTTTTTCCTATTTAAGAATTAATTGGTGTTAAATATCTTGAAAATGCATCTAGTTTAATGTTTGAAACCTCAGCGTAATCTCAGATGGTTTCCCTATGACTGGATTGAGCACCAAAGCCTCTGGAGTTGAACAAAATCTGTACTGAGCAACTAATTGTAAATACAACTAAGCATTTTATATTTACGGAAAATTTTGTGAGGAAGCAAGGAACAGAAACTAAAACAGATTTCATATCCTTTTAGACCTCACTTCCACCATAGAAATATCCAAAAGTAAGCTCTGCTGCTGTTCGGGTCTTTGGGGTTTTTTTAATGGAGAGGAAAGGCAATCTAACCACAAAATCATCAGATTATTTTAGTATGGTATTTATTACAGTGGTACTTAAAACTCTAATTCACTAATCCTCTGCATTCCGAGCTTCTCAGGAAGAATGTGGACAAAGATACACTTTAACCAATAGAAAGTCACAGAAATAAGAGTCTATTTCCAAGATGATGACTGGGACTGGCCAGTATAGATTTACAAAAGGGAGATAATGTCTAACCAGTCTGACAGTCTTTGATAAAATGACTGGTTTGGTGGATGAAGCAGTAGATATGGTTCGCTGACTTTAACAAGGATTTCAGCACCATCTCCTACAATATATTCATTGACAAACAGATCAAGTACAGACCAGATAAGTGAACAGTTCAGTGGACTGATGACTGGCTGAAGCGCCAGACTGAAAGCGTTGACCAGCATAACCCAAAGCCCAGCTGGAGACCCATTTTTTACCTAAAACAGAATAACCTTAGAAGAAAACCTGATTTGTTTCCTCACAGGCTGTAACTCATTCTTTCAAATAGTGGAAACCTTTCTTTAACCCTAACCTCTGAATTAAGCAGGGAAAGATTTGAACCAGAATCTTCCACATTGAAAACAAGTGTCTTAAATCAGGAATCAGGATAGAATAGTTGAGTCTGCATTTACAATCTTTGTAACTCAGGTCTGCAATTTTCAACTGACAAAATAAAAACCCCTAGAGTAAAACAGTCAAAATGATTTCTTTACCATCCTCCCCAGATTTTGCCACAAGTCCCAAGGCAGAATATCTCTGGATTCTTAAACCTTCTACTTTTTCAATTTGGTAATTGAAGAAATCCATTATTTCCACATTTCAGTATGCAAGTCAAACAATTTCACATCTACACTGGCAATCTGCATACCCACTTGCACTCACAGTTCATCAATTTAGCATGGCTTCAAACTCTACTTTTGAAGTTCAAAAACCTTGTTTTCTAATTATTTATATGATATTATACCAAGGCACTAATTATCCTTCATTTTCAACTGTTGCATAAAGCTTTGTGTTTTATCTGAAGTGAGAGTGTGAGGACTCCTAAACTGGACATTGGAACAAGAGATTACTCCCCCTCTAAAGATGAAGCTTAGGTACTAGGCTACAGAAACTAGCTTCAGCTTGCTTACTTGGTTTCATTTTGACCCCACAAATCTCATGATTCCATAAAGTGACAAACCTACTAACAGGGAAGGGAACAGACAGAAGTTCCTAACTTTTAGCAGCTAGAAGTCCTCTATGGGATTTAGACATTTGCCTTTACACAAGAGCCTTGATGCCACCTGTAACCTCAAAGCTCTGTATCATTTTCCCTCTGCAAACAACAAAATAATTGATCATAATTTAGCAATCTAACATTAAACCATTTTTCTTTGTTTTGCATGACACAAACCATAAAATTTCATCCTCTTCTTTTCGCTCTGTGTCCTATAGCAATAGGCGACTGAACACCTGAAGAGTCACAGGGCAATGTTCAATCAGGATTCCACATAGCCACATTTTTACTGAACAACAGGGTTGAAGCCTGCAGAAATCTGCTCAGTAGAACAGACCCTCTGATATGAGGCTGCCCATATGGCAAAGCAGCACAGCTGGTTCTGCAATTTCCACTTCGTATGAGACTAACATTTACATTCCTACATAAGGTTTCAAACAACATTTAGAAGACATGTTCCATTTGTACTTACAGAAGCCACACCTGGTACCCCCTTCAAAGATGAATCCATTTGGGACAGCTCCGTACCGACGCAGATCTGAGAGCTTCCATTGCCCCATGACAATAGGAGGAACGTCTTTTACAAGGACGAGAATGTCATTGCAGAAATGCAGGGTAGCAGGCCCACTCTCTAGTTTAGTGCCAGGTGCTACGAAAACTTGAAATCTATGAACTATCAGATAAGGAAGAAAAAGAATATTACTACAGCAAACAGAAGGATGGTACCATGACTTATGTAATACAAGTCATTCTATACAGCTGTGGTATGTGGACCAACTCCTGCCCACACCACAAGGCTCTAGCATAAAGATTCTAGGCAGAGCCCAGACAGCACCATATGAGTAGCTATAAGCTCATTACTCTCTATTATGCCAGTTTAGGACTGGAAAATAACAAATTAATATATATATAAAAAATTATTAATTTATCCTAAGTCTTTCAGGCTACTCCCTATCTTAGTCAGTTATCCAGCTCACACTTCAGTTACCTCTTCCATCTTTGCATCACCACATGGGTTTCTTTGTCTCTTCCTCTAAACAGCCCATGCCTCTCCACTCCTAAGTGCATGCACACATACACGCAACACAGTGCCCAAGGAGCCCAAAAGCCAAGGTGCAAAGTAGTAGGCAAGTTCTAACCAGAGCTCTGTCACTGACTCATTTGCAGCCTTTAATAAACAGCTTCACTCCTTCCGTAGCAGTAAAATGGGGGAAAATTACATTTTCCCACCTTGTTGAATCTTTTGGGAGTTGGTAATGGTAGATGCCCAGACATTTAGAATTACTAGGAAAGTGATTCATAGGTAATAAGCACTGTTAGATGTCAGTTAATTCTTCATATTTCACAGCCTAAACTTCAAAAGACTGGAAAAGAAAAGGAAATACCCATCTCGTTCAAGTTTGCAAAATTCAGGTTCAAATCCCGACTCCAGTATACCCCTTATGTTGCAAGGGTCCTGGCCTAAAGTAGCAGCTGCTCTAGGCTGATCTCCCACCTTCTCCTCCAGAGCTGTTGCATTCTGAATTATAAGCTATTGGGTACACTTCAAGGGCTCAAATCTCACAGTGTTTCGAAGGGAGCAATTTAAGCGAGCAAGCACTTAATCCTCAAACAACTGTTTTGACCTCCACTCCTCTTGTTTCCTTTCTCTAGTAATTGGACAATAAAAATTAAAACAAAAGTATGTCTTCACACAGAGAAGCATCAGGACTGTTACATTTTTAGTCAGAGGCTTTTGGCAGAGCATTTATCAAGCAGCACATAGATTTAGCTTTTGGTTATCCTTCAGAAATCATACGAACAGCTACCTGCCTGTGCAATCTACAGAGTAAACTTCCAGGTAGTCTCACGTCTTACAACCACTCTTCCCTGTGTCTTGCCTATGCTTCTTCAAGCATCATGAATTTGAGCTAGGTCTGAGTCTTGCTTCTCATCTAAATACTTGCTGCATTCTTAGTTACCATCTTAGCTGTAAGTCAACTCCTATCTATGACGTGCATTAGATAAGTTCCCTAAGGCTCCAGCAGAATTAGCCGCAAAGTCATTCTAGTGAAATGTGCAAGGAGACAGAGATAGATCTAACTAACCACAGCTCTACTTACAGCTTTGCCAGTAGTACTGCTAGGAAGCAAATTAGTAGTCACACGATGTCCCCTTTTGGGCACGCAGTTGTTACACAACCTGCTTAAACATAAACTATGAAAAAGGTACCAAAACCATCATGATGAATAACATTCAGTAAGGAATCTAATATCATTTCCAACTCCTCTGCTCAGTACTTCACTGGCAATTAAACCACAGGAGCAGAAGCATCAGTATTCTTTCTGCCTCATAAATGAGGAATGAAGTACGCTCTTCACACAATCAGTTGCAAGTTACAACAGCTGCTGAAAACAAAGAGCTGCAGCTCAGATGCTAGACCACTGTCAAAAAAACAGCATAACCAAATCTAAAGCCAAAGTAGAGGAAAAAAACAGATCTGAACATGAAGCTTTTGCCATATGCTGCTTTCTTAGTAAATTGGATTTTTTTTTTCAAAGTTCTTCCTATCTACTTCTCTGAAAAAATAATTAATAAGATACAGAGCTGAATATGTCCATGGACCAAAGGTCCTCATTTCCTTTAGCTCATCTTTTCCTCTCCACAGATACTCACTGACCTGCAGTATGCTAACTCCCTTAGAATGGGTTTGGGCTCGAGCACTCTTCTCACACCTGACCTATGCCTCAACTCACTTAATCCCAGTGTTTTTTCTAATCCTGGCTCTTTTATTCCAGGAATCACATCCACCTCATCTGCTAAAACTGGATAGAAAACACTAGAACACCAGTGCAAATGCCTCCATTCAATGGTCTTCATTCAAGAACAGGAACAACTCCTTTACTCTTTTCCCTTTTTTTTTTTTTTTTTTGTTTTGCTTCCCAGACTCTGAGGTCATCTGTCCATGGTCTATTTTTATCATCCAGCAACCTTACTTCCAAGGCATGCAAAGGCACCCTTACTACGCTTCAAGAAGAAACACCATCCTCTCTTCATCTAAGACTCCACTCTTTCCTATTTCTTCTTACTCAAACTAGACTCACTTTACTCTGACTTTTCTCCTAACTGAACCTGCACTCAAAGGTAAAATCCTGAAAAAAAACTTCCATACTCTGGTCTATCCTCCTTCCCCTAAGATTTTTTGCAATTAGTGTTCTACAAGTTACTGCAAATTCAACCAATTATACTTGGTTTCTTATTTCTTCATTTCCTCACTTCCACGTATGTTGTCTCCTACTCCATTATTACTTCATATCATCACCCAATACACTCTATTCCTACCTCATTTTCCTTTAAAAAGAAAACCCATCTTCACTGCTTCTGCATTTTGTCCTATCACAACCAGATTGACATAAACACTCCATCCCACCACAGCATCAGTGCAGGATCACAAAAGCCAGACCTACCTCCACATAATCCTAAATCTAGTAAAGAAATAAAACCAGAACACAGCACAGCTACATCAAAGTTTACGAGCTACTCCAGCTACTCATGCCCATATTGCTCGGAAACTACCTCTATGATTTCCCCTTATGCAAGGCTTCATATTTGATAGCTCCAAGCAGTACATCCATGCATCTCTCTTGCGATACTTCTGTATTTCATTACTGTAAAATTCCCACCACCTTTCTATGTATGTACTGCAAAGGAACGAGTCCACAAATGCAACAGATGGCAAAGCATATGTAACAAATGATTAAGATGGCTAATGTGCATCTTCCATACACCTACCCTCTTTCC